GCCATGTTCAAACTCTTTTCTAACTAATACCATCCTGTGACTTCATTTCGAAGATTCGTCAAATTGAGCCATCGACGATTGGCTCCATGATTTCTGCATATTAGTCTCTGATGTAGTAGATTTGTACATCACAAAAAGTAAACCTATTATTAATACTGAACGGACTGATACGTAGTGGTAAATAAAAATATCATGAGCGTAACATTCAACACAATCCTAATACCACTACATGAGAGATATTCATCAATTACTGGATATGGACCATGTTATTTGATAATACGTTTGTCTGAGTATCGATCACTCGAATGAATGAATATCAAATAAATATCACGAATATGTGTTGTGTTTGATGAAACAAATTCGAAATCACGTTTACATTTAGTTATAAAAATTTTCATTTATTTTCTCAGTGTAAAGTTATCATAGGTTCTCGAAAACACAAAGAATTGGCTGAGCCAGTTTTACACAACTAGAACTAGGATCTCGAAATCCTCTCTTTGTTATACTTGTACGCATTTTTATTGAATACGACTGTATTCTCTCCTGAACATGAAGAGGATGCGAGAAGCCTAAGGAAGGAACATTCTTGTCCTTTTCTGACACAACATATGATTCACTTTAAATCATTCTTGTTTATGTCTCACTGTAATTGCTTGTCGTGCGTCCGTACTCTGATATACAAAATACGTCGAAACAGCAATGCCATGTACAATCGTCTTCAGAAAACATTTCGCATATGGACGATGATAGCGTTCTTAATAACTCTTGCAATAAGAGCGCTGACACCGTACAACCGCGACATGATCTCTGAAGATGACTGTACATTTAGGAGCTCTGATTATGCCCAACTCAAAAATGTTTTGGGAATTTCTTGAAATTTTGATCGAAAGCATCATGACTGGTTAGAGCTAGGGGCACTTCTTTCCCAAACTTCTTCGTCTATACAATTCGTTAGCGAGAGCTTCACGGTAGTATCGAGGAACTAATCCAAACTCTATTAATGGATATATTCACAATGAGTTTATAGGTAGATATTCAAGTGAACTATTGACATATCATGAATTATTCTGACATTCCGATCTTGACAACGTCTTGTGTTAGTACAGAATGCGTATCGCCCATACAGAGCGTTCTCTCCAACACTTTTCTTCGAGACGTGATTGGACTGTTGCAAATCAATTTATTTTCGAAGTCCTATTATTTGAATACCAGGAGGTGTGCTTCGGTCTTGGTGATCCTTTTGTCAGAATATTGGCAATCATATAATCTGTGGATATATGTGACATTCTGATTTGATTATTTATCGAAGCCTCTCGATTAAAGTGAAATCTTATATCTATATGTTAGCTCCGAGCATGGGATACAGCATTTTCTGCAAGTTTCAAAGCACTTTTATTATCGCAGTGGAGAGTTATTTCACTCAGTTCATCGAGATTCAGCTCTGACAATAATCCACGTAGATGAATTGTTCATTTAACAGCTTCGGTCATCCCCATACTCTGCTTCAGTCGAAGAGAGTGCCACGGCTTTTGTTTCTTGGTGTCACATGAAATTGGCCTACCTGATGAAATGAAACAGTAACCTGTGAATGAGTGTCTGTCATCATGGTTGTTAGCCCAATCTGCAACCACATATCCTTAAGCTAGATTCAGATCTGGCTTGTATATCGATTTTAATTCCATGGTCCCATTCAGATATCGCAAAATCCGCTCTGCTGCAGTCCAATGAATTTTACTATAGTAATTGTCCTTCTTGGATAAAACATCGAAGCCATTTTTAGTGTGTAATATATTCACACTCTGTATGTAGTATGACCAAGAACGGTAACGTAGCGGCGCATGATCATCTATGCGCACACCGGGGTATTAACAACAACGATAGTAATAAACAACTCGTGCTTTGGAACCTTTGTTTAATTAAGTGGTTATCATCCCATCCTCGTCGCCACTTGTTAGCTTTCAAAAAAAAACGCCTAATAAAGCTATTTTAGAATGTTGGCCTTTTCCACCTCGAATTTGGCATCGTCTACACATTGATTTCATGGGGCCATTCCTAAGCAAACAATTTTTAATAATCGTAGATGCGTATTCGAAGTGGTTGGAAGTTTTTCAATTGAATTCCATAACTTCCAAAGCAACAATTGAAATTCTGAGATCAGTTTTCGCGAGATTTGGCCTACCAAAACAGATTGTGTCAGATAACGCAACAACATTTTGCTCGAAAGAATTTCAAGATTTTTTGAGAATGAATGACGTAGTTCATATTACATCTCCACCATATCAGCCATCAGCAAACGGGGCAGCTGAAAATTCGGTGAAGACAGTCAAAAATAGCCTCAAGAATAGTTTGGGAGTCAACAATAGTATTTCATTGAATAAAGCACTTTGCAATTTTTTGTTTGATTATAGGAATACCGCCCACTGCACAACGGGTTTGAGTCCAGCGGAAATTATGTTTCAAAGGAAGGTGAATACCCGTTTTGATAATTCAAAACCCCCAACGGAACTAGTACAGTCATCGGATTTGAAAAGTCGCGTCCTTGCAAAGCAGGCAAAACAAAAATATTATCATGGAGGGAAAAGATTTGTAACTTTTGAAATAGGAGAAGTGGTAACTGTAAAAAATTATAAGAATGTTGACCATCCAACGTGGATAAAAGCGGTCATTCATAAAAAGATCGGCAGATCTACTTACATAGTACGAGTTCCCGAAATAGGAAATGTAACTTGGAAAAGGCATATCAATCAAATGCATAAATATCAGTTTAAAACTTCCGGAATTCCTGAAGTTGATTTGACAAAGATTGAGGGGAACCCCACTGGAAAAGTAGACCTGGCGATCGAAAATAACGTAGATAATAAGGAGGTAGTGCATATTGTGTCAAGTGAAGATCACAGTGACAGTACAAGTGGGGGGGAAAGACCTAAACGAAAAATTAAACCTATCGATAGACTTGTGTATACGGAACTATAGACAGGACTAATGCAAAAAAAAAAGTAAAGGGGGAAAATGTGTAATATATTCACACTCTGTTGATCATCTATGCGCACACCGGGGTATTAACAACAACGATAGTAATAAACAACTCGTGCTTTGGAACCTTTGTTTAATTAAGTGGTTATCACCCAATTCCCGTTGAAGATATCTTGCGGGGGCGACAGACATAACATAGTGATTCTTCCAACTGACAAGAGATTGACACGCAAATCAGGAACATGTGATACATCAGCTAGATTGATATTTTTCAATTCACCAAATACATCTGCATTGAACGATACTGATCCTTCGCCAACGATTTCTGTTGACGTACAGTTCGCTAAATTGAGCTTTTCACGAAAAGAGTCGTTTACTTTCACGAAATCAGTCAAATCATTACACGAGTGTAATGGAGCGCCACTGTCCAAACACCATTTGAGCTTTTCACTAGATAAACCAACTTGATAAGCATCCAATGTCAATAAACCAACATTTTCAACATCATTTGCAGTAGGTCGAGATCCTTTACCTCCATTTTTACACTTGCAGCTTTGTTTGTATCTGCAGAACTTCCAGGTGTAACCATATTTTTTCAATTCCAATTATGGTTTGATTTCTTCGAGTACATTGCGTTTTGCATTGAACATCTGGTATCATTTTTTCGAGCATCATTTTCTTCAAGAATTCTCATGCGCAGAAAATCAGAGGTTGGTAAAATGAATCTTGATTCGATTGCGCACCGAAAATTTTCAAAACTTGAAGGCAAACTGTATAATAACATAATTGACACCAAATCTGGATTAATATCCACTTACATTTCACCTAGTTTATCAACTGCATAAAAGAATCTGTTGATGTGGTCACGTAAATCACTACCTTCTTCCATTCTTTGAAGTGTCAACTGTTTTAGAAGTATAGCCTTCCTGGCAGGTCCTTTGGATTGGTAGATATCCTCCAATTTCTTCTCAATAATTAATGCTATCGGAACTACACAAGGGTAGGTAGGTACTATGCCCGAGTGAGAATGTTGGGATTTTTATATTAGCTGGTCAAACTGCCAAAAACTGGATGAACAAAAAAGCTGAATAAAAAGTGCCCCTATAGCTCACCTGAATATTTCAGACGCCCGGATCGAAATTTCAGAATATTCTTAATATTTTTGAATCGAGCATAGAAAGTTAGGTATACATGTACAGAATTTGAATATTTCATCACTGGGGGATTATGAAATATTGATATGAAACAATGATCACAGGCTCTAATATAGATGGCTATGACCCCCCATATGGGGCCATTTGTAGACTCATTTTCATATGAATTTTAATTTGTAAAATCTGGTTTTGAAATTCCTCCATGTAATTTCCGGACACCCTGTATACGCACAGGGTGCATCTCAAGAAATGAAACCCTTGATAATCACTGATTCTCGGGATTCCGAACAATGATCAGTAAAAGTTTTTTGCAGCGACTTCAATATTGATTCGAGTGGTTCATTTCGATTAGACTATTACTCAGTCAGGGTTCAGACAACCTTTGAGGCCTGTTCATTTGTGCTTGCTCTACCTGCTGAACTTGATTTTTTCCATGACTTTCTCTGTTTACATCATGCCATGAGCAGAGGCAACTATGATGAAAAAATCAACTTCAGCAAGTTCAGCTATACAAACGAACAAGCGTATTATGTGTCAACTCAACTGTTAAATTCTTCAGGATATGTTGATTTTTCTGAAGAAAAAAAAAGGAGAATACGGCGTAGAAGTTCATATGCTTCTAGCAACCAGTTCAAAATTAGATCACCAAATGTTGTGTAATGATTACCTGGAAGTCTATAAGCTTACTCCTGAAATGTTGTTGTACCATATATGAGCGCTGAAAATTGCCGAACTCAATTCTCTCAAATGACACCTACTATTGTATTTGACACAATTTGAAATAAAATCGCATTTGATTCAGAAGCTACAGCACTGGCCATTTTCTGTGCGGTTTCCTGTTTGTAATGTTTCATACACCTTTTTTTGTTTCAGAAATAACCAGCAGTGTGAGAAGTACGTCCCATCCATTTGATAGTATGAGTAAGTAAATCATACTCGTATATAAGTGGTATCTACATGTACCATACTCGACAATAGCCCTCAGAAGGAATTACCCGCAGTCAAATAATAATAAATTTCGAGCTTTCCGCCTTCAACAGTACGGTCAAAATAGTGCAAAAGATTGGCAACACTTGTAGACTGTTGGCCCGCGACACAGGATTCATCGATGTTCTGAGTCGGTATGCCATTCAAGGGGCCCACTCACTCCAAGTTGTAGCCCTGAAAATGCAGGATCCTCCGACCGAAACCACATTTGTGCAGCTGGCTTCTGTTTGTTGACTCCGACGATTTTCGATTTTTTATATCATATTGCACCAAGTGATTTCTATCTTTTGCACTTTTTTCACCGGTCTGATAAGGACTGAAAGCCTGAAACACGTAGCTGCGATTAACTCTCTCTGAGGGCTTTGTCCAATAATCTTTTCCTAGTGTGTTGAAAATAGTTCGTTGAATATTCCTCTCATCTTATTATATACTTTATACATACCTACATATTATGGAATATTTGGGAGCCATATGTACTGATGAATATAGGAATTTGAAATTTGCCATTTCCATCTGCGAACCTGGTGCTCATCAGAAGAAAATAGCTCATTAGTGGAGAGAGAAAAAATATATTTAAAATGGGTGAAATCATATCGTTTTTTGAATGTCTCGTCAGTCGTTGGTTTCTTTGAGGATGGCCCCTCCACTCAGGTGGTTGGAGGTTGCTGGTTCAAAAGTTACTTCCCAGAGAGAAAAATTCGCTTCGTTCGCTCCGCGAAATCATGTCGTTATACAAAATGACGCGTTTCCTAACTGGTCACGTAGACATCTATTCCCGGCCTGGAATTCATCAGTATGGTTTATGCAAAGTCAGTTGAAAAAACACATCACCGCAAGCCGTCGGTCCCTTTGAAAGTTCAAAGAGTGCGACAGCGCGGCCCGACATTCGTTTGATGATCTTTTCAACTAACTAAACTAAAACTATAACTGTACAGTACACCACTATGCTGATGACAAGCAAATTTATTTTTCTTTCACAACTTCTATTCTGCAGAAGTGACAAATCTCTATAAATGAAGATTTGAATTCTCTGTTTGACATTTCATGAGCACACAACTTGAAACTTAACTCTGGGAATTCTATGGTGACGCTATTTGGCTCTAGAAGAGCAAGAGAGGTAGCAACTGATCTGAGAATCAATGTAGGTGATAATACTCGTCCTATCATGAATGAATGCAAAACTCATACTCAAAATTTGCTAGTCCCTAATTTTCTCTTAGTTATCTCACTGTGACAGTATTCATGTTCCAGCATTATTAGCTACCGACTCCCACCGCATCAAACGTATTAGAAATTCCTGCTTGCGATTTTTTTATGAAATGCGGAAATTCGACCACATGTCAGCTAGAATGGTCGCTGCAGGTTGATTGAAATTAGAACAATCGAGGAATCTGCATCTGCTGAAGTACAGGGCTAGAGTAGAGGAAATTGTTACACACTGTATCAGTATGAGTGTCCGCGAACACTCTTTACTAATATTTATACAGAGCGTTGAAATTTCAAGATTATCATATTCTCCAACACTTTTTATAAGAAGTCAATTTTTGTTCGGTTCATTATTTTTTAGGTTAAGTTAAGCAACTTTGAGGAACCTCTCGTCACAATCAGAACAGAATCGCTACATATTTAGTTCATGATTCTGTTAAAAACATTGAATAAATCTAGCGAATTCAAAACAGATATTATTTTTTTCGATAACGTTCGTAGGTGCGTTGAGATTAAAGGAGACAAAACAGTTCACAAACGAAGCAAATAGCTTTCTTCAAAGTATTCCGCACACTTCGATAGGGAAAGTGGCCTCCTGTCGAATTGGCTTAATTCTTGATATGATATAGTCCAGGCCATTCCAAACAAAAAGTTCAATGGGCACAACTCTTTCTATGGGCTAGTTTTGGAACTAGAGGCACTTGAAAATTTTCATTTGTTCTTCATTGTTCTACAACACGGAACGGTATTCTGGGTAATAATCACTATTCTGCATAATCAAGATCAAAACAGTCATTAATATGAGATACTATTGGATGTATTGTTCATTGCAAGGATCAATTATACAGTGTGTTCCATATATTATATCTATTAATACTTCAAATTAATGATATAACTCATGGAAAATATAACAAAATGGTATATCATTTTGATAGGGGTTTGTCGAATGAGTATTAATATGATTATTATATTGATGCTCAAGGAGTATCGCGGAAAAACTCCTCCTGAGTCAACCAAGCCTCTAGTCGCACATTCAGTATAAATGCGTAATATGGAGAAAATAATGGGCTATAACTCAATTATACGTTACATTTAACGTACTCATTCAACCTGGTATCGTCGACCCTATATAATAGAAAACCTTTGACTGAACCCCAATTATTCATCTAATAACTCACAGGGTGTTTCATCTGAGAATATATCAATAGTAGGTACGGAATTTTCCGAATGTTGGAACTTTCGCTTTCTTTTACAATGAACACTCCTTATATTTTTTGACTATGTGATGTAGAATACGATGTAGGATAGGATTCATAAACATTTTCTCATTGAAGATCCCTAAGACGATTTGTAACCATTTTCGAATTATTGAACTTTGGAACTTGTAAGTAGCTAGAACACACTGTATAATTGACCAAATATAACAACACCGAAGAAAAATACTTCCGATAGTATCTGATATTGATGACTGTTTAGATCTTGATTATGCAGAATAGTGATTATTATCCAAAATACCGTTCCGTGTTGCATAACAATGAAGAACAAATGAAAGTTTTCAAGTGCCTCTAGCGCCAAAACTAGCCTACAGAAAAAGTTGTCCCTCTTGAACTTCTTGTTTTGAATGACTTGGACTATAACATATCAAAAATTCAGCCAATTCGACAGGGGGCCACTTTCCCTATTAAATTGTGCGGTATCCTTTCGATATCTTCCAGCGGCGCACCATAAGATAGTAACCTATGTTTCGAATTCGATCTGAATATCACGCCTATTAAAAGAGCTATGAAGAAAAAAAGATGAAAATCTTGAAATTTTAACACTCTGTACCATCGGTAACGAAGCGTTTGCAAACACAATCATAATCATGGAACAAAAGGCTTATTTTGACCTGAAAAATATGCAACTGAAATATTGACACTGAGTTTTGCAACACTCTGTATATACGTTTTCGATTGGCAGCCCTGTCTATACACTTCGTTCTGAGTCGGAGTAACACCTTCAATGAAAATCGCTCTGCTGAAAATTGATGTCGAACGTCGAAGTTCCAGTGACCGAGACAGATGCGACTCTGCCCCGTCATTTCAGATGACAGGTGATAGATGGCGACCATCCAGAAAACCGACTGGGCTGCCGAAACGATTAGAGTCTAGAAAATGCACAGTCTGAGGAGTGAATATCACCGGAACGCCGCCTATACCTGAACGGTGTCGTATTGTACAACATTTTTTCACCTCAGAATATGTGCAGAGGGTTTGTCCAAAATTATAATAATGATGAAGATGATGATAACGTTTATTGAAAAATATATGGGCTCTTCCATCTGAAACACACATTAGACGTATTTGGAGTCCGTGAAATGATACTGATATGAAATTTTTTTTTACTGGAATTATCTAGTGGTCCCTTACATGCAGTTTCCCAGCGCGTCACTCCCGGAGCGAAGTTCCATGCATGTGAGAGTAACATGCCATTTCTTCATTTCTTCAAGGTTTTCTATTTCGTGGATCTTGCTTCGCGATGTGTTCATTACAATCATAAGGAAAAATAGCATGTTCGATACTATTCAACCATCATTATAAAGAGTCCGCTAGAAAGAAGAAAAAAAGGTCTACAAAATTGTATTCCCGTCAGAGCGAACTAAACCATGTGGAAGAAATCACCGAATATAATCGAAAAATCTCAAACTCATTTCGTGATATTTCGTTCTTCTTATCCTCCATAATTATGAAAAAAGACGATATAATTAACTTGATGAATTCTGTCGAGAAATTAGTTGGCAAAGGCCACACAATTTCCGAATAGTTATCAAAGCATGAAGTCTGCATATACTTCTTTCGTCATTAGCTATACAACCTACCATTATTCACTCCTTCTTGAGGTTCAAAGTGTGTTTTTACTTCCAAAGTAGTTTTCGTCATTTTATAAACCACAAAATCCATGCAAGACATATCCACCTCTGTTATAATTAACCCGGATTCAATGTTCTGATGCGATTTTCAAAGGAATGGCACTCGAATCTGGTATGAGGTATTTATCGATAACGACTTGTCATATGCAGTCATGCATGGTGACTAGATTTCAATTAAAATTGGAAAGTAGTGCTTTTATAGTGACATGAAAACAAATAAAATTTGTGTTCCTCGAGGAACTGTTCTAGGTCCAATTCCTTACCTCACTTACATAAATGATATTTGGAAACAAATATCACTTGACCTAATATTTTCTCAAATGTATTGATGATGATTGTTGACTCGTGATAGTATGAGTAGTAGTATGAGACAATGCTGCTAACGTACCAAACGCGTCCAATAAGCTCTCAACATTCGTGCGTAGGAGATAAAATCTGGAATTTTTGTGTGCTTATCATCTGTTATGGCGCCTGGTTGCGATTTTACTAAATATAAACTATTGCAGCACAAGACACGCCCCCTACTACGGCATTGCAAAATATAATCGAGCCCAGCACAATCCTGCAAAATCCAATCTTTGACAGCACAACGTAGCTGATTCATATAAATAAATCGATTGAAAAAGTAGCACATACCACGTTATATCTCATCTTCAAAGTACTTTACTTAGGCAAAACTCAGAGACTATTTATCCTCAACGAACTAACCTATCCCTGATTGCAATATTTTTGAGGAAGGAAAACCGAATGGAGTGTAGAAACACATTGATTAATAATATATTTCAAAAGTTGAGTTCTTCAACAAAATTGAATAAAATGA